AATGAAAGGACAGTTGAAGTACTGAGGAAGAAATCACTAAGAAATTCTTTAAAATAATAATAATATGAAGTGATATGAAAAAATACAAAGTTTCAAAACATATAATAGAGAACGAACTGAAATACATCAATATGTCACAATATATCATATACTATATGTGACGCCTCTAGAACCATAAGAAATGCAAAAAATTCACTGTTAATAATTCTTGCTCAAATTGCCTCCCTTAAAAATCAAACTGCTCCCTTGTGGGATGTGTGTCCCATGTAGGGAACCACTGCACTAGAGCCACCGCATCCTTAGTCCCCAGCAAGTTTCACCAAGAATGTCCTCTACTCACCAGTGACACCCAGCAAAGGGATCTGATGGAGTTAGATATTTCCCATCTCCTTGTTATGCTCAAGTTGTGGCTTATAGGTGTTTTATTTGCTTCTGTGCTTTGTATACTTTTAAAATATGTGGAGAGATTTCTATTTAGATGGCCACTGTACTTGTGGGACAACCAGAAGTCATCATTAATATACACCGAGTGGCCAGATTATTATGACCACCCCCATCAGTACAATGAAGTATATATATCAGCCTGATCACCCCCTAACCACTCCCCTGAAAGCCTGATCGACGCCTAACTGCTCCCTTGCGGCCCGATTGCCCCCAACTGCCCTCCCCTGCTGGCCCAGTCACCCCTTACTGCCCTCCCCTGCTGGCCCGATTGCTCCTAACTGCCCTCCCCTGCCAGCCTGGTCTCCCCTAACTGCCCTCCCCTGCAGGCCTGGTCGCCCCTAACTGCCCTCACCTGCCAGCCTGGTCATCCCAACTGCCCTTCCCTGCTGGCCTGATTGCCCACAACTACCCTCCCCTGCTGGCCATCTTTGACCACATGGGGGCGGCCATCTTGTGTGTTAGAGTGATGGTCAATTTCATATTACCTCTTTATTAGATAGGATAGTATATGTATATATATGTCTACCTTCATATATTATACTTTGTTATACTAATGGGGGTGGTCATAATAATCTGGCCACTCAGTGTGTATGAACTAGAGGCCTGATGCATGAAAGTCATGTAAGGGGCTCAGCCCTCATAGCCCTGCCTGCCTTGGCCAGCCCTCACAGCCTCAGCTTTGTTCAGAAGGTCGTACGGAAGGACTTCCAGTCTAATTGGCATATTACATTTTTATTATTATAGACTAGAAATTCAAGTTGCACAAAATTATAGGTGCACGAAACTCAAGCACTGGGGCGGGGTAGAGGAGAGTCAGACCAGCAATCCAGGACACCTTGGGGGATGTCTGACTGCCAGTTTAGGCCCAATCCCAAGCAATACGGTACCGCTGGCTCCTAACCATATGCCTGCCTGCCTCATCACCCCTAACCACTCGCCTGCCTAACTCATCACGCCTAACCACTCTGCTTGCCTGCCTCATCACCACTAACTGCTCGCCTGCCTGCTTGATCACCCCCTAACCACTCACCTGCCTGCCTCATCGCTCCTAACCACTCTGCCTTCCTGATCGCCCCTAACCACTCTGCATGCTTGCCTGATGCCCCTAACTGCTAATCTGCCTGCCTGATCACTCCTAACTGCTCGCCTACCTGTCTGATCGCCCCTAACCACTTGTCTGCCTGCCTAATCACCCCTAACCACCTCTGCCTCGGCCCCCACAGTGGCGGCTTTGTCCAGAAGGACGTCCAAAATGATGTCCGGAAGGTCATTTGGGAGTCCGGTATAATTAGCATATTATGCTTTTATTATTATAGATGATTTAACATTTTTCATCCAACAATTTGGTTGTTTCATTTTTGACAGTGGTTTAGATTGTTTACTCTATCAGGTAGAAAGAAATACAAATATTTTGCCTATTGAGGGTTCTCTCTTTT